AAATCAGATGAACTATTGCAATTAAGAATCTTATCGTGTGTGGCAGTTCCAATAATTTAAAAAAAAGGTGTTAGGCTTGCAGTCTGTTTTAGGATAGTGATTAACCCCTTAGGTATGAGGTTATGTAAAAAAGCAGAGCATGAAAATGCCATTTGGCTTTTGTCTAAGAAGCTGTAGTTGTAGCAATGCTTTAAACTTGCCTCCAGACAACAGGCTTTGAAATTAAAGAGACGGCAAACAATGTATGATTAGTATTTTTTTCTATTTTTATTTTCTCATTGCTTGTGGTACTGTAAATCGCCTTTGTTTTCATTGGTGTTTGTTTGAAATCCTTGTTAAAAGGTGGCAGAAAATTTGATCTCTCCTTTTTTTTTTTTCATAGTTTAATCTCAGACTTGCCTGGATTTCCAGCCTTTTTCCTTTTTTTTTGTAGAAGGGCAAGAATAGTAAGCTGTTTATGTGAAGATGCAATATCTTAAAACAATTAAAGTTTTTGATTGGAACATCTTGGAGAAGAGTAAAATATGGTCCTATCACTTCAGAGATGAGGGGGCTTTTTAACAGTCAGAATTTAAATATTTTGTCCATTCAGGCTTGCTTAGTAAAGTACTTCTGTTTCAAATTCCAGATGCCATTGCCCAGGTGCCGGTCTCTTTACAGTATATCAAGCCAGTTGCTGACAGAGCGAATCCCAAGATGGGAATCGGGATGTTGGCATTCAGTCCCGATAACTGTTTCCTGGCAACCAAAAACGGTAAGTTCCTCCCGCCCCACGTTAGAGGGGAAACCTCCTCGCTGTGTGTGCTGCGTTTTCACAGAAGACACGAGGACAGTAACGGGTCGGCTGTTCTGCTCTATGGGAAGGCTCACGGCCCTATTTAAAATGGGCTCTCCAGTGTGCAAACGTGATTCAGCCTATGTCTTCTAGCGTACGTAGAGTATTGTGAGCTGCCAGAACTGCTTATCAGTGCGTTAACTCAGTCTTGGCTTTCTATTTAATGAAAATAGCATGCTTTTTATATTTCTTGAAATGTATGTGAGCTCACTGAATTAGAAAAGGAAATACACAATCTTTCCTCCTCCGTTCACAGCAAGTGTTTCTTGAAAGGCAGAATTCTTCACAACCTGTAGTAGGGGGCTTTTCATTACCTCAAATAGTGAAAGTCATGGAATTAATGTTTAATCTTTCCCTTCGATGGTCCTGAAGGGCTGTTTAGGTCTGGATGCAAAAGCTGTGGTTCAGATGCAAACCCCATCAAGAGCAGCGTAATTGTGAATAACTTGATAAAAGCCAGTGAAGGACTGGAAGACAAACTAAGTCACGTCTTTTATCCTTTTTGCAATATTTCCAAGGCAAAATTGAAGGCAGTGCTAGGCAAAACTCCAGTGGTGTTAAACCTGTGGTGTACCTAAGTGGTTTGTGTCGTGTTAGACCTCAGTTAATGCCTGTTTCTTTAAAAAAAAAAGTGTGATCTCTTTATCATTCAGGCATTTACACGATTACCTCTTCCTTTTCTGCCAGATAACATTCCTAACGCTGTCTGGATCTGGGACATTCAAAAGCTGAAACTGTTTGTAGTCCTAGAGCAGCTGTGTGCGATCCAGTCTTTCCAGTGGGATCCGCGACAGCCTCGCCTTGCTGTGTGTACAGGAAACGGCAAAGTCTACTTATGGTCCCCAGCCGGATGCGTGTCAGTGCAGGTGCCAGCGGAAGGTAAGGCTGCCTGCACTAACTCCCACAGGCTGTCACCAGCTGCCTATTTACAAAATATTCTTCTACTTATAAACTGGTCTGAGCATTATCATGTACGTGGCTCAGATGTGTTCTTGGAGCTTTTTAAAAACAGGTATTTCTGTCTTCAAAAAAGAGGAGTTCATAATGAGACATAGCAAACATGATAAAATATATCAAGGAGAGAGCACAGGGGCTAACAATGATTTAATTGTTGCTTTAATCGTATGGTATATTGAATTATTTCTCAAGATTTCTACTCATATCGGTTTATTTACATAGAAACTAGTTGTGCAGAGTGGCAAGTGTTGAAATAAAGACTCTGAAATGCCTATAATGTTTTGGGGTATTCTGAAAACAACTAAACTACAACAAAACACTAACGGGGGAAAATGTGCCTAGTAAATCTGATGTGGAAAGATAGAAGAATATATGTGAACCTGAACTCTAAGTCAGCCTGCGTGATGAGAAGTTTTACGGCTGGCAGTAAGCGATACAAGGCCATTAGCTAGATCACATAAATGCCCTTCTGCATATTAAACAAAAGAAATCGCAGAGATTCAACTTTTTCCTCTCTACACAAGGAGCAGCAGTATCATCGGGGTATGCAGCTCTGCACCAGTGAACAACCTTGTGGTACCTATTTGCATGAAAATGCTGAGTCTACAAAATCTGTGCTTGTATGTGGAGTAGCTGTAACTGTAAAAGCGACTGTAGGTTTGGGGGGAGGAGCCAGTAATGCAGCTTATCTGCACTGCCGTGTAGGAGAACAGAGTGGCTCTACTGCAGCAGTAACAAAAGGGAACACCCCGTTAAGGCTTCCGAGACGGGGAGGGTGCTCTTTGCAGTGTGCATGACTCACTCCAGCTACTGTTTCCTAGAGTCAGAGGAGGGACTGTCAGCTCCTCACTGACAAACTCCCATCTCTTTCTGCAGGTGACTTCCAGATCGTCTCTCTCTCCTGGCATTCTAGTGGAGACTCCATGGCGCTTCTGAGTAAGGACAGCTTCTGTGTGTGTTACTTAGAAAGAGAAGAGGTAAAATAACAATCATTTGCATTAAAAATGCTCACAAGCTTGAGGAAGAATGAGGAAAGGGGTCAAACCCTGTTGTCCAGTCTGAAGGTTTTGTATTTATAAATTATTTATTTGAAGGAGCGTACCCAAACTCCAGCGTGTAAAGTACTGTGATTGCATTTGAATGAAGTGACGTAGCAACTGAAGTGTAGAGAGTAAGTCTGGATTTCAAGAAAACTTTAGTATTGATGTAATTGGACTTTCTCTTGAGCTTTGTCAACTATGAAACCTTATTTTCTAAAACTGTAGCTGTGTGTATATAAGGTATAGCTATTATTTAAATTTTATAATTTCCAATAAATATTTTGATAGTTACAAACTTTGTATGACTCTAACCATAAACCTGCGCCTCTCCATTCTAAAGTCAGTTTCTGTAGTACTGGTGATGTGATTATCTGGCTGTCTATCCCCGCACCAGGAAAGTTACTTGCACCCAACGGTGCACAGCTGATATCTCGCCTTGTAAGACAACAGATTTTTCTGGTGTATTAGATCAAATAGCGTAGCGGAAGTAGATACATCAGTAAGAGACTTCCTAGCAAATCAGTTACTGTTAAAGCAAATGAGTCCTTTGTTCAGAAAGCAAATTAAGTCATCTGTAATAATTTGCTTTTCCAGACTAAGATGTTAACAGGTGGCAGTAATTGTGCCTGGCCTGTCCTAGATTTCTTACACTGAATCTCGACAAGAAAGCTCATAACTGATACTTAGAATGAGGTATTACAGGCAACTGAAATGGGAGCTTTTGACCCAACTACCTCCTGCCAAACCGGCGTGGGCGAAAAAGAGCAGCTGGACTAGCCGTTGTCTTGAACCCGAGGAGCCAGCCACTGTATTCTTCAAAGGAAGGGAGCCCATGGTTTAGGAATTTATTGGATGCGTTTTCTTTTGCTACTTCATTTCACAGCCTCGGTGTCCACAAAATGAAGAACGAAGAACAAATTGAGTTGAAATTTAACTTTACTGCAAGATTAATGAAAATTAAATAGCTATCTTAGCAAATGCATTGAGCGGGATGTGCAACGTGTTGCATTCCATCAGGACCTCAGCTTTACATAAGTTTCATGAATACACATCTACTTTAAGTTCAAAAAACCACCACTGCAGCACAGCATTTATTCCACATCGTAGTTGCACAGATAAATGCTCCGATGAAATGGCACACGTAGAAGGTCATACACAATGAAAAACCTCGTTAGAGTAACCTCGTGAGCAGTTCAGCTGTAGTCTCTTGTGCTGCTTCTGAATTTCCTTACTGGACATTTGTATGGGGTTAAGTGCACGAATGTATAACTCAAGATTAACGTGCAGTGCTTGAAGTCTTACCTGTCTCCATTAAAAGTCCTGCACTGCTGCTGTCCCAAACTAGAGTAGATTTAAGAAAAATTGCTAAGAATATAAATCTAATCAAAATAGAATTCCTTTTCCATTTTATAAATAATAGCTTTGAAGGCAGATGCGTTTGTGAGGCTTTTGGCAATATTCTCTCAAAGGAGCCTTTACTCCATGGCTGCAGCAGGAACACGGACACGGTAAGGAAGTAGGAAGTTGGACTCGGTTCTTAGAGGGAGGCATTTTTACAAAAAGCTAATAAACACATATTCAGCCATATACTTCAGTTTACAACATACACTGCTTCTGAGCAGACGTAACAGTACAGCGTTAACAAAATTTGCTGACTCGGTTTTGCTAAAGAACGACTGACACAGCTTTCAAAATTCTTAACAGGCACTAATCAAAATGGTGATTGCTGTAATTGTGAACACCACCACCTCTTTAAACACCACAGATCAATCCCAAGCACGCTACACGATTCCACACCGTACGCAGGGATACGTACAGCTGTGATACGGCACGAACGTTATCCTGTATCTTGGATATTTGCGCGGAGCGTTTATAGCCAATACCAATTGCACTTAATTAGCAGGGAAGAACACGTGGTTAGAAATGGAAAATACCGCTGCTTGCTAGCCCTGTAAAAGAACTGTAAATTAGATAGCAAATACAAGAAGGATGCCATCTTGTGTCTGCTTCGGCTTACCCCGGCCTGTGCGCTCTCCCTAACAACGAGGGCCTCCCGTGAACTCTTCCATCTACAGCCACCCCCTTTCGCTCCCCAACTTCTTCGCTTTGGTCATCGAGTGTGCTGCCACACAGCACGCTCTCCCCAGGAGACCGCTATCCATCGCGTTCCCTTGAAAAGATTAAATGCAATGAATTTTAAAATCCAATTTTGCCTCTCGACATGGAGTAGCCAAGTTTGGCCTCGTTGTTGATGAAGGACATCAGCCCCAGGTAGGTCTCGATCAGCAGCGGCCGCTCCAGCACTAGCACGCCGTCAGCCCTTCCTGGCAACGGACACTCCTTATGGGCCTTCTTCACAGCCTGGATTAGCTGAGTTTTAAAGTTTTCCAGCTGAAAGAAAAAAATCACCTTGATGTTTTTCCATTGTTTTAAAAACGGTTCGGCAAACAGCTGCCGACGTTGAATTGCACAGGATTAACACTAAAGCTGTAGCTGCCATGGGTCTCGCGTGCCGTGATAACTTTACGCTCTGGCACGTAGCCTTAGCGATACAGTTCCTTTCCTACCAGGACACCGTTTAGGTGTAACTTAAACACGTGGGCTGGGTGCGCAGAGGTTTGTCAGGGCCTAATACTGTTTATTTCTGACCGTAGTTCTGCCCTTATCATTGATGTGTTCAACTTAAATTACCATAGCGTTCTATTTTTAAAGAAACTTTTGGAGGAAAGCCACTATTGCAAGAAAAACAGAACCACCTAAGTGAAGGATTACACTTAGCAATTAGACTATTCGTTTAATTAGCTGGCAGTCCGAGATGGGAAGTCGGGCATCGGCCTGTCAGGTAGGCAAGAGCAGGAATAGCACAGAGATCCATTTTCTTCTGGGTTTTACAGGACTCTGCGCTTTTGGAAGTTTCAGCTTCCTCCTTGTATAAACCACCGATGGGCAGCTGGCAAAAACCGAGTCGGGCTGCCCTGCAAGGCAAAATCTGGAGAATGGGGAAATGCAGCTTCCAGCTCTGAGTTCTGTCTCTGATGTAACTGCTCTGTCTTTTCCAAACCTATGAGATCAACAAGCCACCTGGAGCAGGAGAGGAGATGTCCTTACCAGGCAAAGGGGCGCCATCTTCTCATCAGCCTCTGCCATCGGGTGCTCGGTGAAGGTGACGTACGGGATGTTGGTGGACCACGGGTTCCACCTGTTTATGAAGGAGGCGCGACTTTGCTTGTCCCACTGAATCCGAATACCGATGCCTTCTCGCCTGACGTTGAAGACGGCAGAATTACTATGGTAAGACTGTTGAGTCTTTGAGGCAAGTTTAATTAGAAATGTACTGTCTGAAAAAGACCTGCTTAAAACTGGAAGCTGAAATATAAGTTTGCTAGTAAGTTCTTCCTCTAGAACAGTACTAGAGGAATTCAGCCCCTGAAACGTGCAAAGGTACGGTCTTACAAGCTGAGCACAAAAGGGTTGAGCTCATTCGGCAGCCAGACCCGAGGCCTGGACGGTATCGCCTGCCTTTACCTGACACTTACACGCGGGTTTCTAGCAGGGCTGAGGTGGTACTGCTACTGCGCGACACAGCGGCGACGAGCTGCTGCTCCCAAATTACTCATCTTCTCGTGGAAGTCCTTGAGCAGCTCGCTGTAAGGCAGCTCCCAGCTGTCCCAGCAGAAGGGCAGCGGCGCGCTAACAAGGCTGCAGCGCGGTGACAAAGCCACGCGGGCAAAAGGAAGAGCTCTCAAATTGTCCGATGGCCGGTGACAAAGGCTGACAGCTCAAACCGCCACTTACAATACCACCACAAGAATTACAATAACATTACAGTATTACTATGCCCACTTACTTGTTCAGAGATGTAGGGGGGAACTCGAACTCTCCCACGGAGATGGTATCGACGGCGCCGAGGGCCACCCTCGTCACGTGCTGGCACTGCAGGCTGAGGAAGTTGTATTTGCAGATGAGGAGGGACCGATCCGTGATAAGGACGAGGCGCTCCTTCTCGTTGTTCCAGTGATCAATTCTGGTAAGATAACGGAGCTTTAGTGGTTTTGATCAATGGCTAGAAACGCTTAACACTTTGACGGAAGAGTCGCGAAGGAGAACAAATCTCAGGTCTTGGTAATGCTGTATTTCCCACTACGGCCTTTGCTTTGAATCAGCAAGTCTGATAAGAGGTTGAACGTCACAACGTGGTCATGTTATAACATAGGAAAGCATTAAGAAAAGCAGAATAATTCTGAAGATCTCGAGAGAACGCTCTATTTCTATCTATCTCCTGCTATTTGCGAACAAACGCTACCGGCCGGGGCAGACGAGCCTCCAGCAGCTCCTCCGGTGCCTGACACCGCGCCGTTACTGCGTTGCCCCGTTTGCTAAATTACCGACTGCACGGGTGCACGTTCCGGGGAGAGAAATAATCTTCTTGAACCGTGTGGCCCGGCTCGGTGTTTCCCTCCCTCAGCACAGTCTGTACATGCAAAACCTCCTCCGTTTCTTCAAGGTCCGTGAATAAAAGGTCCCACCTTTCCCTCGGCGTTTTGCCA